TTTCAAACATGTATAACTCGTCCACAAATAGACTTTAGTACATGACTTTAGAAGAAGGAAGTGTCTATACAAACAAGTGGATACTTTTAGATAACAGAGACGTTGAGCGCGATGTTGACAACATCGCACGGTCCCGACGTCTGGGCTCCTGGCTCTCAGTCCAATCTCTCTCAACATGTTCAGTACAGTTTGACCGGATATCCTCTGAAGTCCAGGCACCCTGGCTGCTGTGCTCTCACACGTGGCAGTATGATCACGCAAATGTAGTACCCGGATGTACCGATCGTGGGCTGCAGTGGTGACTCAAGGTCTGCCTGTACGGGGACGGTCATTTGTTATACCTGTTTGGTTGTAACGAGCTGCAACTCGTGATATCGTGCTCGACTAACATTCAGACGCCTGGCAACTGAAGGTTGGTAATCTCCAGCTTGCATTCTTTCAATGGCGATGGCGTCAAGGCGTAGTCATTTGACCTTGATACTCCTTTATTACGAACGACGATTTCCGAAAGTAATTTGGATTTTTATTGCCAGACAGTGCATGTTCTTTGCTCCACAATTGCACCTGGAAGGTGATTTCAGTTGCGTTGAGGCGATGCAATTTTAATCATTGTAAGAAATCTCATCAAAATCAACATTTTTCGATTTTTTTACTTGAACAATTGTGTAAAACCATGTTATCAACACTTTTGTTACGTATTTTGACGATTATAGGTGATAAGTAATTATTATATTTTAAAAAATACAAAACGCCTATGCGTTTCTTTATCGCCTTCACCAGTTTGATCTACCTCTGGACTGTTCATCAGAGACAACCTGATGATTTATCAACCAGGGCATAGTCTCATGATTTGTTGAACTTGTGGAATACTCCTTATTTAACGGAGTAGACTTGCTTATTGGGCCTGATTTGGCAGGGGAAGAAGTGTTTGTGAAACGTGAAAGTGATTCTGTTGTGTGTCATTAGCCCAGCTCTTCAGAAAGTATTGAAGGTCCTACAAATTTAAATCCAGGCATCCGTGAAGAGAAAACTCCTGGTAGTAAAGCGGTCGGTAGAGTTAAGTTCTTACCGCTTTTGCTCAGGGTGAAAGGGGGCGGTGGGGTAGCCTAGCGGTCAAAGCGTTGGCTCGTCACGCCGAAGACCCGGGTTCGAATCACCACATTGGTACAATGTGTGAAGCCCATTTCTGGTGTCCCCCAGCGTGATGTTGCTGGAATATTGCTAAAAGCGGCGTAAAACCGGTGGTGAAAGCAACCGAAATGGACAACCTGTATTCGGTAGTTTGCGCCCCTGGGTCGATGAAGGACGGGGTTCTGGTGGTTGAGGGCTCTGTTCCAGGAACAGCGTTCCTTTCCCCAATGTGTACACAACTTTAACCCCTACAGTTGTACTTAACCTAAACAGTTTCCAAGAATTGGCGCTGTTCTATCAATTGCCTGGTCATGCCAAGCCCTGAGCAATTTCTTTTCATTGTATTGCTTGGGTTTTCTATTAACTTTATAGCATGTGGAATTAATTTACAATCGTTAGAATATTTTAAAGTGCCTTGATAGACCAATCTGGTGGAATAATCAATCTTTCAGTTTACCTGCTGAAGTGTATCATCTACGTATCCTTGGTACTGCAAAATGGGCTTGTTAGCATTATCTTTATGACATTCCTTGGTGGATGGGACCTCGGATTGTGACACTTATGCACTAATAGTGGATTATGAATCACCACATTGATCTCGATGATAACCAACACAGATCCACCAAATCAAATTACTGCTGGCCACGCTCTATAGTGGTTGGGATTCTAGATAAGACGCCATTGAAGTTGAACCCTTTAGAAGAATCTATGGGCAATAAACATTACACGATTGCGTTCATGTGCTCGGCCTACTCACTGAATGCAGTAAAGGCAGAAAACTACAAATCTGATGGCAACATTTAAGCATAAATGCCAATCATAGAGGAAAAATGTTTCAAACCAAATTCACTAACTCCTATATCCAAGGTATGGATCATCGGACAATTAAATTAAAAAGGTATGCATTTTAGCTCTGACATTTACCATCTTAAAAACGGGGACCAATTACTGATTAATCAATCCGAGATTGCCAACAAACTTGGTGAATTTGTGACTGAGCATTCATCCTGATCCAATCATGTGCCTCGTTTAAAAAACATGAAAAGAAAACAACAACAGGAAGTGAAAATGATTAATTTCAATTCTGATAATGGGGAAAATTCAAATGAAATATTTTCTTTTCATGAGCTGCATACTGCTTTCGAAAAAGCAACGATACTGCAACAGGAGCTGATGATATTCACCATCAAATCCTGAAACACTTACCAGCATCATGTTTAGAGACTCTTAAATATTTTAGATGATATATGGGCCTTAGTTCTTGGGAACTAATAGCCTAAAAACAGATATTCAGTGTGGTTTCCGCAAAACAGAAGTACCATTGATCATTTAGTACCATTAGAATCATTTGTCACAAATACCATGTTTAATTTACAACATGCAATGTCTATCTTCGTTTATTGAGAAAAAGGATACGATACTACATGGACCGGGCAGAGGTACAGATGAGCTGCGTATCTGCGTAAATTACGCAAATATTTATGTGAAAACTCAATTCCTATTGCCTACAAGTACGCTTGATTTTTTTTGTAAATATTCAGTAATTTTGATTTTACATGCGTGCACACAGACATGTCAAAATCCGTATCCATATTGCGTATCCGTGGATATATATGTCAGTGAGTTAACATTTGACGTCACATCGGCAATATTGCAGCCATATCGTGACGAGAACAGTTGATCTCAATATTCAAAACAATAAATGCATAACGTAAAAAACTGTCATCGAAGGACAATAAAACTACTAGGATATCACAGCTGTTAATTTAAAACTAGTACGCTATCATATCATCACGAGAGACAACAGTACAATATAAAAACAGGCTATAGATTGCCAACAACCGAAGGTACATCACCATACTAGGGATCGTGGGGACTTACAGTACCTTTGCTACCTGCATGGACCCAACTTGGATTTACACCATCCCTTCAGCTGTTGGCGATTGTAAGAAATAATAGTCCAAATTAAAATAACAATAATATAACGTTTAAATATCCTGGTAAGTTTAAATTGACTTTGAAAGTTTTGGGACTAACGCGTGGATGTATAAAATAACTGAGGGATATTGAGAGGTTCTATTTCCACACATGATCTTGGCAACTTGCAGACTTTCTTATCGTTTCTCATATAACAGATCAAATAAGGACAACAAACACGTAAACTGACACGTAAACGTTATTATATTTTTACAACTATTGGAAAATGGCAAAGTGTGTGAGTGAGTTTGCGTGAGGTGGGTACAATTTATTTGAATACTCCAAGGAAAATTAAGATACCCAATGGAGATGAACACAAGAAAATACATAACTCAATGACCCCAAAAATTAGCTGTAGCTCTGACCGGGTTTTAAAAAGGTATGCGAGATTTTGAATTGCAAGTATTTAAGTGACAGGTTATTTCAAGTCCGCGTAGGTTCTACCCCGTCTGACAATTATAATCAAGATCAGAGTATCCCACAAGGTAGTAATTTGTCCATTGCCTATTTAGCATAAAGATTAATAATTTATCAAAGGTTTCGTACGATACAAGAAATGGATCACTTTTTGTGTCATTTGAAAAATGCACAGTACTGAGAAGGCAGCTGCAACAGTGTTTAAATGAAACTGATAATTGGTGTTAATTAATTACAATGGGTTTAGATTTTCAAAATCTAAAACAAATTCTATTCCCTTTTGTCGAAGATATGAACACCACAAGGTTTTCGATGGTAGCGCTATTAATGTTGTAAAAGAAGACACATTCATATGTATTTTTTTTCAATCAATATTTCTTGTCACAAATCAAATAATATATATATAAAATATGATACTAAGGTCCATAATAATACCATATATCACGGACAAAGTAGAAACTTACAATCTTTATAAAAGCTACATATTTTCATAAATATCAGATTCTGTCAAAATGATGAAAATTATGGCCATGAATTTATGAGGTAGAAACATTAAAATATACTGATTCAAAAAAGAAACTTCACAAAATGTAATTTGAAAAATAATGAATAATTTTTCTCTGATGATACATCTATGTCTCCGAAATGGGATCCCTATCTTTCGACTCTAGGAAAACGTTAGCAAAACCCACTCAAACCCATCCATTCCTCGTGCAAATGACGTTAGTGCCAAATCAGGTTTTGCACGTGCAGTCGATCACGTGATCTTCGCATCGAAGTTTTCTTCATATGCACGTGTTTGCATTGGCCTCAAGAATGGAAAAAACACTTTTAAACCACAAACTGGCACCACTTCTGATCGCCCAAGGTCGGGTCGTCCACGTGTGACGTCACGAGCAGAAGACCGTCAAATCGTCCTACGTCACCTACGTGACAGATTTCTGCCGGCTACACGAACCAGGGCTGAGATGTTTAGAGGTCGACTGTCCTCACAGACCATTCGAAATCGGTTGCGGGCTGCCAATCTCCATTCTCGACGTCCATATTGTGACTTGACATTCTGTATACTCATGTTTTGGAACGGCGGTGTAGCCTGATGGAACTGATTATGGCACTGTCAGTGTATCGAGTACATCACACAGATCTCAGCAATGAAATAATAACAATTTAACCATCTTACCATCTCTTGTTCTTTTATAGTGCCCTTAAGAAAGAATGTGAAGTTTCTTTTTTTTGACTCAGTATATATTTGACATAGCAATGTGGTATCCACACAGTTTTAATGCAAACATTAGTAAGCAATACACATCATCCCAGTTTGAAGGGAAAGAATGTAAAGGTGTAAGGTGGGTAGTTCTTTCACAATATCAAGAATATTATAATAATAATAATGTGTCCATTTATATAACGCCAAACTCCACACCAGGTATGCTCATACCTCTAACAACCAGTAGCACAGCACATTATTACCCAGGATAACCCAAGCTGCCTGTTAGGCGCTGGAAGGTTATAGGGTTATTTCACCGGGTACACATTTTCTCGCTGGGTGAACAGAGGCAATTTTGAACAAACTCACTTGCCTAAGGTGGGACCACATGTGTAGTCTAATTTAGTGTAAGGTTTTAAAGAACTTGTACTTTCATTTCGCACACTGCTCAAGTCGAGGCCGAATATAGACATTTCTGTAATCTGATAGTTACAATTTCACTATCAATCTAGTTGTCATTTGCATAAAACCTCATATAAAATGTGCTAAGTGGATGCACTGTATTGACAAATGCAGCGTTAGTGGTTAAAACATGGTCAAGGTCTGGATTAAAACCATTCGATAGTTTAGTGATATATTGTACAGCAAGCTTAACCATTCCTAACTTGAGATCATTTTGTTTTGCTTCAACATCTACTTAGCTTCTCAATGAGAGAAGTTCTGAATGCTACTAGATATAAGTGAGTGAGTGAGTGAGTGAGTTATTATTTAACGTCACATAGGCAATATTTCAGCCACATCGTGACGAGAACATTTGACATTGAAATAGAATATATATATATTAGAAAAAAAACTGCCGACGAAGGACAGTAAAACAACTAGAATACCACAGATATGCATGTAAAACTAGTAACTGAATCTAAAACATTTCAACCATAGAGGCCAACACAATATAAAAATAGGCTATTAATAGCCTACAACTGAAGGTAGATCACCATACTAGGGACACGGGGACTTACAGTACCTTTGCTACCTGCATGGACCCTAGCTGGATTTACACCATCCTTTCAGCCGGTGGCGATTGTAGGATAACTTAGCCGAAATTTAAATGAACAGTTTAAAAACTTGGGACAGGAAAAGTTTACTTTGAAAGTTTTGGGGACTTAGGTACTCTCTCAGGAGGACAATACTTTTACGCTACTTCAACCCCCTTTGAGGGTACAGCCATATAAGTGAGTGAGTGAGTGAGTATGGTTTTACGCCGCTTTTAGCAATATTTCAGCAATATCACTGCGGGGGATACCAGAAATGGGCTTCACACATTGTACCCATGTGGGAATTGAACCCGGGTTTTCGGCTTGCCGAGCGAACGCTTTAACCATTAGGCTACCTCACCTTACCTACCAGATATAAGCGACAGTATAGATATATGCACATGAAACCTAATTAATCCTCATCCTGTTTTAGAACAGTGATGATATGAACAGAAAGGTGTCAGAACTTGCATTCTTCTATAAGGGTAGAGTCCCTAGTATGGTGATCTACCTTCAGTTGGCAATCTATAGCCCATTTATATATGGTACAGTTAACGTTTGAACGAGCGGTTTATGGTTATATGCTAGTTTTAAGTGTACATCTGTGATAGACTAATTATTTTACTGTCCCTCGGAGACAGATAAGTATATAAGTTTGTCGATGTGTCTTTAAATTTTAACTCACTCACTCGAAGGGCAGTGGTGCCTGATTATCTGATGACAGATTGAATAATTGTAAACACAATAAACACACAAACAAATTCAAAACAAAATGTAGGTAATATGTTAATTTGCATGCTCTGTGTGTGATAAATGCCAACACAGATGATTTTGTGGAAAAGCAGTTCATTGAGTAAGTGAGTGAGTGAGTTAAGATTTCAAGTCATCGGCAGTATTTCAGCCATATCGTGACTATAAAAGTTGTTAATTTGTAAATGTATACATGAAATAAAAACAAACTTCTATACTTACCTATCTGCGAAGGACAGTAAAATAACTAGTCCATCACAGATTTATACATAAGACTAGCATAACTATAAAACACTATTTCTAAGTGTCGCAGGGTTTTATAACACGACCACTGGGCTGGTGTTCAATCTCTTTATTCTGCCATTTGCCATTTAGTCTATCACAGATGTACACTTAAAACTAGCATATAACCATAAACCACTATTTCAAACGTTAACGGTACAATATATAAATGGGCTATAGGTTGCCAACAAATGAAGGTAGATCATGGTGATCTACTAGGGACCATGGGGGACTTACAGTACATTTGCTTCCTGCATGGACCCTAGTTGGATTTACACCATCCCTTCAGTTGTCAGCATTGTTTGACAAATCTAGCCATACATTGAAAGAACACATATTCTACCATGAAAGAGGTGGTAAATTTAAATGTACTTTACCTCGTCACATATCCCAGAGATAGCTTTTTGTATGTTATACTGTCAGTTCTTTGGGAGGCAGAGGGAAGGTCAATGCATTCAAACTTCTTCAACAGCAAGGGATATCATGAAGCGTTCCAACAACTTGGAATGAGTTGACTGTGCCACCAGGTTTGATTTACTAACTTCAAGCATTCACTCAGGCACCTGTATGCCTCAAGTTCTTAAATAAAGGATGTCAATCGATTGCGCTACTACCTACTTCTAACCATATTCACTCAAATGTATTTTGGTACCTTCTTTTCCTTGACTCTCTATCATCCTCTGCCTCCGTGGTGTAGTGCTTAGAGCTTCCGCCCGGAGAGCGGAAGGTCGCGGGTTCGATCCCCGACCGCATCATACCAAAAGACGTTAAAATATGGTATTTGTTGGTCCCTGCCTGGCGCTCGGTATTAATGGGTACAACAAGGACTGGTCGGCTCGAAGTCAGTATAATGTGTCTGAGTGGGGTATACATGCTTCACTGCGGCATGGTATCTCAGTGGGCTAGCACTATAAAACCAGCTTCAGTCTGGGCTAGTACAGGCAGCCGCACATACACATACACACGCATGCACGTCGTCATATGAGCGAAATATTCTCAAGCACGACGTTAAACCCAATTTCACCTCACCTCACCTCCTTGACTCTCTATCATCCTCTGCCTCCGTGTCGAGGTAAGACATATCTGTTGCCAGGGGTAGTTTCCCCCTCACCTTGTCATACGATTCTGTAATTATTATAGAACACTTTTAATTAACTCATCATTATGCCAGTATGTCAGAAATGATCTTGTTAACAATGACCTATCATAATAATTATTTTTTAAAATGAATGAATTAGTTTAAAACGTGTTCAGAATTAATGATAAATTAAACTACACTGATTAGCTTTAGTCGTTTATACTACTACTGTACATGACTGTGATGGTATACAGTTTTCATGTACCCTTGTCTTCACTCCCTTTTCCAGTTGGTTACTGTTTTTGAACTTGGGCCAAAAGCAGTACTCCTTTCCATGGAGACAAGTGTTTGGCACAATCCCCACTTCATTTTTTTTTTGGAACTTTACTATGTGGTACATTTCCTGTTATAAAGCACTTGTCACTTGAATTTACAGATTAGAATAGCATCTTTACTGTTAAAAAGTTTGTGTATAGAATTAGCAGTATCATGTCACTGTTTTCTGTACCAATGAAACAACATACACACTTTACTGAATGTGTAGATGTAGCATAGAAAGTACAATACATGATTCTTTTACAGGTAAGATAACGTATTTCTTTTGAATTTGTGACCCCCTCCCCCCCCAACGTACAGATGGACACTTAAATGTGAAACTTTAAAAATTCCAATAGAAGACGATTTAAGTGAATAAGTGAAAAAATCTTTTTTGGATAGGAACTTACCATATATGATTAAAATATCTTTGTTTGCATTCTGTACAATATTTTGTATTATCACAACTTCATTGTTAATACTAACACAGCTATTTCCAATTGATTTTGACAAAAAGAATCGGTCCATGTTGATTTCTTTATATTGTGTCACGTATCCTAAACTAGATAAAATAGGTCCATCTGAATGTTCAAACTTTACACCTTGATTCTCAGAAACATGTTGACCTTTGTGAAGAGGTACCTGACTTTCACCTAAACGTCTTATTATCTGCTGAAGGGGGCACTTTGGTGTTCGAAGTAGCTTTTTTAATTTGCCTAAGAAGCTTTCAAAAGGAAAAGATGAAAAAATGTCCAAGGGACCAAACCTTTTTACATTCAAAGATAGATGTACCAAACCATGCAGGTTATAAACAACCATATCATTGCCATAAAGACGCGAAACATGTTCAACAAAAATTGTCTTTGGCATAATCGCAATAATTTGGAACTAGTAGCGGGGTTGCTAAACAGGTAATACCGACAACAAGAAGCAGATTATTTAAGTACACGGCATTGCACAAAATATCTTTTAGGGCAACCGGTCCTGTATATAATAAGAATAATCTATATTCTGTTGCTTTCCATCTGTCTATTTCCCTGAGAGATCTCCCTTTTCTACAGAACTCCCTTGGGATATATCTTGAATACAGAGTTAGCTTATCTGACAGTTTGTTTATCGCAGTTGCTCCAATTCTACATCTTACAGAAACGGGACCCTTCATCCATAAAAACACCAGTTTTTTCATGACACCTAGGCAGACCAAATGCATATAATCAAGTGGAAACTGGGTAACCATACCTATTAATAATTGACTCAGTGGTGATCTGAATAAATGATGCTCTTCATCAGCCATTTCATCAAATTGAAGATCACTTCTTAGAGGTGCTTTTGTTTCTGGGAATGTCATCTTGTTCAACCATTTACCATTTGACAGTTATCACAACCAGAGTAACCGTTGTGGCCTTTCACTCCTTTAACAAACACCCTGGCTGGTGTATCGCATTTAAAACATGAAATGGAAACTTCAATTTTGAGGCCATTGTTGTCTAGCCAATCACGCTCAAGACCCTTCATTTCTTCTACAAATTCGTTTAAATATTCATCACCAAAGTTTGGTGGTTTGGAAGCCCCATAGAAGAGGCCTATGATAAATGGCTGACCAAGAAAGGGGTGGATGACTCTACCATGTATTGGCAAGAACTGAGGTGCTTAGTCTGCAGCAAATGTATGTTTCAAAAGTTTCCATTGTTTGTAGTTTCTTATAAATTATAATTAGATCATTAGCCTGAATAATTGTGCACTGATTGTATGAAACTGGACAAGGGATTTTGAGATATGTTTGTACGTTAATCTTCAAGTTTCACGACTAAAAGTAGCTTCAGGCAGATAAACTGATAAAGTGTTTAAATTTAGAACACATGGGTCAATGCTGTTGCTCCGCTGGGAATGTACTGGTACCAGCTGGCCGCTGACAGACAGTGGCTCGCCCGCTGTGGCCCACTGCTGTGCTAATGCTGTAAGCCCGTTACCGGCACAAGCGTAACTCGCGGCACTAATATTGCATTGGACCAATGCTACAATGCTACCTGGGACGGCATTCACACAGCAAGCTCAATATTGGCAAATGTCTTGATTGGCAACAGATTGAGAGATTGCTGTCTGCGTGCACACTCCACAAGAAGCGAGCCACTACGGAGTCGAGTAACATTCTTGACTTCAAATTTGGGAATGGTTGGTTTGGTGTGTGTGAGTGAGTAAGTGAGTGAGTGAGTGAGTGAGTGAGTGAGTGAGTGAGTGAGTGAGTGAGTGAGTGAGTGAGTGAGTGAGTGAGTGAGTGAGTGAGTGAGTGAGTGAGTGAGTGAGAGAGAGAGAGAGTGAGAGAGGTGAGTGGTGAGGGAGGGAGGGAGGGAGGCAGGGAGGGAGGGGAAGGAGTGAGTGAGTGAGTGGTGAGTGAGTGAGTGAGGGAGGGGAGAGTGAGTGAGTGAGTGAGTGAGTGAGTGAGTGAGTGAGTGAGTGAGTGAGGGAGGGAGGGAGGGAGGAGGGAGGGAGGGAGGAGGGAGGGAGGGGAGGGAGAGGAACACGGTTTCTGTATCCTCAGAAGCAAATTTGAGAATGTTGGATTGGTGTGAGAGAGCTACCCTGCATGTTGGTGGTATCATTATGCTGTTGTCTTTATAGATTTCAACAGGTGCGTGCTCCCTTATATACTGCCAATCGAACACCCGGTGTGAGGAGGGACGTCGTGGTGTCGCAGTCTGTGTTGAAGGTAAGATTCCTATTCTCATGTTTGTGAAACAGACCATCAACCACAAAAATGAAAGTCTGCCAACTGGTAGTTTAATAATTTGGACATTAGGATTCAGTTGGCTTGAAACAAGAACATTGTTCGACTACATGGTATAATGAAATAACGTCAGGTACCTTGGCTGACGATGAGGACAAGGACAAGGTTGAAAGTCAGGGTGCTGGTGAACTGGAGGGTGTGGATGGGATGAGGGTCAACTAATGAAGAGGATAAGGATAATGCTGTCACTGCGGGTGCTGGTGAAATGGCGGGTGTAGATGGGATGAGGGTCAACTTATGAGGAGGATAAGGACAATGCTGTCACTGAGGGTGCTGGTGAAATGGCGGGTGTGGATGGGATGAGGGTCAACTAATGAGGAGGATAAGGACAATGCTGTCGCTGAGGGTGCTGGTGAAATGGAGGGTGTGGATGGGATGAGGGTCCACTAATGAGGAGGATAAGGACAATGCTGTCACTGAGGGTGCTGGTGAAATTGAGGGTGTGGATGGGATGAGGGTCAACTTATGAGGAGGATAAGGACAATGCTGTCGCTGAGTGTGCTGGTGAAATTCAGTGAGTCTGCATGCGAATACGATGTGTGATTATTTGGATTTATTTAGCTCGAGACTAGAGATACGTCTCACTACACAATGCGACTTGCTGCATGAGTGAATGTGCGTCCTGTATCGCTAATATAAGGGTAATGCTATTTTTGAGGGCAGTATCATTTGCAAAAGCCCTAGGTCTTCCATTACCTGCCTGACAAAGGAGGACAGTTGAAAATGACCGATGGCTTCTGCAAATGATAATGCCCTAAAAAATAGTATTACCGTTATTATTGCTAAAATACATGGAATTTGTGTTGAAAAGAAAAAGGAAACAACGAAGGAATTTGACTGTAAGTTTACTCAAAAACAACTTCTGACGGGGTTGACTGACCGAATGCAATTACGTCATCGAACAATTCAAGGGACGTCACAACAGAACGTGACGATTTTCGACCTTAGCCTTTGACAAGACCATGGCCGGCAACATGTCAAACTATGTGAGTTTTAAGTGTTCGGTTTAGGTGTAACAAAAACGTTAATAGTACAATTGTTAAGGTAAGCACCAGCAAGAAAGCCAATATTACCGCTAAAGCGGGAATTCGGGTTGCTTTGACTTGTTTGCCCCAGAATATCTGCCAGTTCAAAGCAAATATCGAATGAACTGTAAGCCCACGCACCCACTATGACGTCACTTGACAATAGAACTGATAGTGGCCGTCGTTAAGGTTGAGCGGTCCAATATCATTTGAAGCGTCTCGCAAATATCTGATAATAGGAGGGCCGTTTCATGATAATTCCATATATTTTAGCTATAACGTGGAATACAGAGTTTCTGAAAACATTCACAGGTCATACAGTAAGCAGCACCCTTGAAATGCGATGTTCAACAAGTTCAAATTGTCCAGCAGACAGGATGTTTGCGTGCTTCACCAAGACCTGCAAATGTTACCCAGGGTACAGTTTCAACCCTGCCAGTGACAGCTGTGTAAAACGTAAGTCAATTTTTGAAAGACAGTTTGTATAAGTCGAACTTGTGAATGCAGATAGGTTACTGGCAGTTGTCACCCATGTTGTTTACTCTAGTCCAAGTAAGTTACAAAGTTAATTTTGTTAGTGGGTGTGTGTATGGTGTGAGTGTGTCTGTCTGTGTCTGTGTGTGTCTCTCTGTGTTTGTCTTTGTGTCTGTGTGTGTCCGCGTGTGTGTGTGTCTCTCTGTGTGTGTCTGTGTATATGTGTTTCTGTGTGTGTCGGTGTTTGTCTCTGTGTGTGTCGGTGTCTGTCTCTCTCTGTGTGTGTGTCTGTCTGTGTGTATGTGTGTGTATGTGTCTATGTGTGTGAAGTGTTCAGCTAACTATGTTGCAATGAAAAGGTAATACCTCAACTGATATCGAATTATACAACAAGTATGTGTAACTTGTTCTAAAATTATATGTTTTCTAACGAATCCAGTGCATTTATCCCATGTTGTACAATAATAAATTCAATATGAACGGTGAAACGTTATTCCCCAGGCTGCAATACGTATGGTGACGGATTCACGATGTACCAAGGACTGGCTATTACACGACACAACGATAGAAGAACAGACAGTAAAACTGACGGTAAAACTGCAAAAGAATGCTACAAAATGTGTATTACAGAGAAGACGTTTACTTGTATTACATACGAGTATCAACCCGAGTTGGGAAGGTGCCAAATTTCAAAAACCGGGTACCTCGATGTCTACCATTTCCACAGAGAGAGGAAAGTTGAAGGATGGATCTTTGCAGTGAGAAACTGTTTATAGCAACCTAGATGTGAAAAGAGAAGGGATGGAGATGTTTCACTTTCATTCCATTGATGTTGTATAGATGTGATGAACACATGTTTGGAACAACCCTTTCGAGCACATGTTCATATCTGCTCCATGTTCATGCGTATTGTGAAAGGGACATTGTGTATGTCCGTCTTTACTTTATATGGTGGAATGATTCACAGGTATTTTATTTTTAGCAGCTCGTCGTTGGTGCGAGCCTATTGCAGGTGAAGGACAAACATGGCGGACTCGATTACTCGACACCGCTAATTTTGTAATAAAGTCGTTTGTGGCAGGTAAAACCTATTTTCATACGAGAGGTTGAGGAATACGAAAACGGAATATCTAGTGATTCCCAAACGGTTATGGTTTTCGCCAACTGCGTGTTTTCAACTGAAATACATGCACTTAGTATTAACACGGAAAAATTGGACAAAGTTTTACCAATATTATAACGGTATGTGTTATTGATAACTAATTACAGATTAACTGACCACGTTCCTCAATCTTAAACCTGCCAAGGGTCACACTGATAGTGAGCATCGGACCAGTATCTCTAAAGCTAGTAGAACCAATGTGCAGTGCCTTTATATACTGAGTCAAAAAAGAAACTTCACATTCTTTCTTCAGGGCACTATAAAAGAACAAGAGATGGTAAGATGGTTAAATTGTTATTATTTCATTGCTGAGATCTGTGTGGTGTACTCGATGCACTGACAGTGCCATAATCAGTTCCATTAGGCTACACCGCCGTTCCAAAACATGGGTATACAGAATGTCAAATCACAAGAATGAAAATTCGAAATTTCTCAATTCAATATCGTGTATTGCTGCACTGCGCATTCACCACTGCCAAACACCGTCTCCTCATCGACTGCCTGATGCTTGTGAACACGTGGTTGGGGATTCTGCGCCATTGCTCTTGCAAGGCAGTGCCAAGTTCCTGCAAATTCTGAGGTTGGTTCCTAAGACCACAAAGCCTTCTCCCAAGTGTATCCCAAACATGCTCTATTGGATTAAGGTCAGGGGATCTCGATGGCCAGTCCATGACGTTGATTCCAGCGTTTTGAAGGAAATTTCGTGTCAACATCGCGGTATGCGGCCGAGCATTATCATGCTGGAACTGTAGATCTGGGCCATGAGCCGCCATGAAAGGAACGAGTTCATGGGTGAGCACCTGGTCGCGGTAAACAGCAGCTGTGAGGTTTCCACGGATGACCAGAAGTCGGGAATGTTTGTTCCCACAGAAAGCACCTCACACCATGCAACTTCCGCCCCGAATCTGTCGACTTCCTGTTCACAACATTGGGCATACCGTTCACGACGTCGTCTCAGGACTCTATGCCTGCCGTCCGCGAATCTGAGGGTAAACCTGGATTCATCGCTAAAGACGACTCGATTCCAGTCTCTCTGGGTCCATCGGAGGTGACGTTGGGCATACAGCAGACGTTGACGTTGATGAAACGGCGTCAAAATTGGCCCACGATATGAACGTCGAGAATGGAGATTGGCAGCCCGCAACCGATTTCGAATGGTCTGTGAGGACAGTCGACTTCTAAACATCTCAGCCCTGGTTTGTGTGGCCGGCAGAAATCTGTCACGTAGGTGACCTAGGACGATTTGACGGTCTTCTGCTCGTGACGTCACAAGAGGACGACCCGACCTTGGGCGATCAGAAGTTGTGCCAGTTTGTTGTAGACGACCTCGCAAGTCATACACAGTACGACGGCTGCATCCCATTGCTCTTGCGACGTCAATAACTGATCTTCCCGCTTGCACATTCGACAATCGTGGCATTTCAAGTACCGTTAGAACTGTGGTTTAAAAGTGTTTTTTCAATTCTTGAGGCCAATGCAAACACGTGCATATGAAGATAACTTCGATGCGAAGATCACGTGAACGACTGCACGTGCAAAACCTGATTTGGGACTAGCGTCATTTGCACGAGGAATGGATGGGTTTGAGTGGGTTTTGCTAACATTTTTCTAGAGTCGAAAGATAGGGATCCCATTTCGGATACATAGATGTATCATCAGAGAAAAAAAATTCAAATTACATTATGTAAAGTTTCTTTTTTGACTCAGCATATTATGAGAGGACTGACTGACATCAAAGACGATCACTAGTTTCTACAGTGAGTATTTAGAGCCACACTGTTTTCAGAATTCAAAGCTGTGAAAATGATTCGTCGAGTGAGTATTTCAACTGTGAACGGAATGTTGAAGTTATAACAGTCTATTCAATAAAAAACCTGAACTTCAAACTAATAGTTTGAGTTGCATTTATTTGGGCTTTACGTCACATCGGCATTTTCTTGACGACATAAAGTCTGAATTCATGAGCAATTTAACTTCAAACTAATATGACAGGAGTGACTGACTGATATCTATGGCAGTGACACTATTCAGAGTCGAAGTCTCCCGTATTTTAGCCAATGGGCTAAATTTCGCGTGTGCCTAAATACGAGAATTTCCGGTATCTTTAAGACATTCGAATGTATGTAAATTATAAGCGTCACACTCATAAAACCATAAACCTACTTTGTGCTTCTGAACATTCTTGAATAAATAAGCCCCTAAATAAATTATGTTCACAGAACATTAAGAACATTTTCGGAAATATCTTTAATTTATATATCATTGCCAGCCGACTATGATATTATGATAGATTGTTCTGATATGTACACCGTTTTCACGATATCTCTGTATGATAAATGTTCTGACATATACACCGTTTTCACGATATCTCTGTATGATAAATGTTTTGACATGTACACAGTTTTCACGATATCTCTGTATGATAAATGTTCTGATATGTACACAGTTTTCACGATATGTCTGTATTATGTTTTGACATGTACACGGTTTTCACGATATCTCCTAATGATAAATGTTTTGACATGTACACAGTTTTTACGATATCTCTGTATGATAAATGTTCTGACATGAACACCGTTTTCACGATATCTCTGTATGAAAAATGTTCTGACATGTACACAGTTTTCACGATATCTCTGTATGAAAAATGTTCTGACATGTACACAGTTTTCACGATATCTCTGTATGATAAATGTTTTGACATGTACACAGGTTTTACGATATCTCTGTATGAAAAATGTTCTGACATGAACACAGTTTTCACGATATCTCTGTATGATAAATGTTCTGACATGTACACAGTTTTCACGATATCTCTGTATGATAAATGTTCTGACATGTACACAGTTTTCACGATATCTCTGTATGATAAATGTTCTGACATGTACACAGGTTTCACGATATCTCTGTGTGATATATGTTTTGACGGACATGGATACGCAATGACAGGTCAATAAGTGAGTGAGTGAGGGAGGTTAGTTTTATGCCGCACTCAGCAATATTACAGCTATATGGCATGAGCATCGATCTGCGCAATTGGGAACCGATGACATGTGTCAACCAAGCCTGCGAGCCTGACCAACCGATACCGAAAGTCGCCTCTTACGACAAGCCTGGGTTACTAAAGGTTCACCCCAACCCGGACCTTCACGGGGAGACAAGCCTGGGTTACTGAAGGTTCATTCTAACCCGGACCTTCAGGGGAGACAAGCATGGGTTACTGAAGGTTCATTCTAACCAGGACCTTCAGGGGAGACAAGCATGGGTTACTGAAGGTTCATTCTAACCCGGACCTTCACGAGGAGACAAGCATGGGTTACTGAAGGTTCATTCTAACCAGGACCTTCACGGGGAGACAAGCCTGGGTTACTGAAGGTTCATTCTAACCAGGACCTTCACGGGGAGACAATCATGAGTTACTGAAGGTTCATTCTAACCCGGACCTTCACGGGGAGACAAGCATGGGTTACTGAAGGTTCATTCTAACCAGGACCCTCACGAGGAGACAAGCATGGGTTACTGAAGGCTCATTCTAACCCGGGCTTTCACGGGGAGACAAGCATGGGTTACTGAAGGTTCATTCTAACCCGGACCCTCACGGGGAGACAAGCATGGGTTACTGAAGGTTCATTCTAACCAGGACCTTCACGGGGAGACAAGCATGGGTTACTGAAGGTTCATTCTAACACGGATCTTCACGAGGAGACAAGCATGGGTTACTGAAGGTTCATTCTAACCAGGACCTTCACGGGGAGACAAGCATGGGTTACTGAAGGTTCATTCTAACCAGGACCTTCCAGGACCTTCACGGGGAGACAATCATGAGTTACTGAAGGTTTATTCTAACCAGGACCTTCACGGGGAGACAAGCATGGGTTACTGAAGGTTCATTCTAACCAGGACCTTCACGGGGAGACAAGCATGGGTTACTGAAGGTTCATTCTAACCCGGACCTTCACGGGGAGACAAGCCTGGGTTACTGACCTTCACGGTTCATTCTAAACCAGGACCTTCACGGGGAGACAAGCATGGGTTACTGAAGGTTCATTCTAACCAGGACCTTCACGGGGAGACAAGCATGAGGTTACTGAAGGTTCATTCTAACCAGGACCTTCACGGGGAGACAAGCATGGGTTACTGAAGGTTCATTCTAACCAGGACCTTCACGGGGAGACAAGCATGGGTTACTGAAGGTTCATTCTGGAGTTCACGGGAGACAAGCATGTTACTGAAGGTTCGTTCTAACCAGGACCTTCACGGGGAGACAATCATGAGTTACTGAAGGTTCATTCTAACCAAGTGATAAGACAATGAGAAACTGGCATAAATAAGCTGTTACGTGGTTGTAAGTTTTATTTTCTATTATATTTAGAATTTAACAAAAGCATATGGAGATCCGGGTTGAAATTGGTCTTCAGCAATCCATGCTTGTTTTAAGAGGCGACTAACGGGATCGGGTGGTCAGGCTGAGGAGTGAAGATTCAAGTCGCAGAGGACGGTATCCGTGGCACCATGACCAAGGGTCGCTGCGATTCCTGTACGTTTGTGCAGTATTAGACGCAGACTTTTTATTCAATACTGCAGGTCATATGACAATTACGCCAGAACATATTTTTGTCACGTGGATTTGATATAATAAACTAAACTAATAATTAAGAACGGCGTGCATTAAATGCATACTTCAAATACAATGTTAGTCATTTGATTGTTTGTGGATGTTGTGAA